TTTTTTATAAAATGGTAAGTAGTCATTTCACAGCTCTGTAATATCTGTAGCAGTTTTCTGTAATGTTGCCAGAAACTGTAAAAACTGTAAAAATGTGCATTATTCTTAGGAGTGCTTTGTTAAATCATCTACCTGTGACCCAGCTTTCCAAGTAACATATTTGCACATACTAGCCATTCTCTCTCAACTCTTAGCAGTAGAGAAACTGCCTGCCACCCTGCAAAACGTCTAACATTTCTTTCCAATTGCACCACTTTCACCTTCTGCAACGAGCTGAGACGTCCTCAGCTCGTCGAAGCCATAGCCGTGTTCGTCGTGCTCGTACGTGTGGGATTTCGTCCCGGCTGTGAGTCACTTTTCTACAGAATTTCTTAGATGCATTTCGTAACGACCCATAGTTTGTTTCTGGTTTTTTATTAATAGGTAAATAGTTTCTGCATGTCAGATAAGGCGAGGTTTTATGATAAACTAACAGTTAAGTAGTGTTTGGTTTGTGCAATAGTACTGAGCTTAAACTAGCTTCCATGCAGTAGGTTTAGTGGTTAGTGAGTCGTGCACCTGCAGAGCTCGGCGATGACAGCGAGGTTTCACGCCGAATGTTTGCTCTGGGTAGAGGAGTCTCTCTTGTACTTTACACACTGCCATCCGTCCATCCGCGTATCACCCAGTCTGCTGTACACGTGCGATCTGAAGAGCGAGGGAGAGGAAACGAAAAAGCGAGAACAGAGGGCCTCATTCCTCATCAGGTTCTTTTACACTCAAGATTGTGTTTTCTAACAAAACTATTTTTTACAAACAGCTCTGATAAAGATCGATGCTACTTGCTCTGTTTCTTAATGTCACTTCCAGTCACAGTTCCAGTCATTTGTGTTCATGGTACACCAAAGACAATCGCTGATACCTGAAACTCACAGTGTCTGTTTAAGCAATCGTAGACAGTTTGATGGCGCACGGTCTGAACACTGTAATGAACCTTATCCACGAATCGTGCTTCTTTAGTCAACGTTTCGAGCCCACAAAACGGTGCCAGTTAGAGTTTGTTTTTTAATGATTTAAAAATTTTAAGGCTCAGCCTAATTAACAAAAAGGGAGCTTCTCAGTAAGAACGTGGCATTAATAAATTTGTCTAATTAGGGATCGCAGTCTGTACTCGCGGTTAATCTTTTCATTTTATTTGATCTTTTTTTAGTTCATTTGTAAGTATCCAAAAACCAATGTGATGAAGTTTGTAATGTGGCGTTTTTATAAGGGGATTGTTTCCTACCAGGGCCTTTGACGTCTTCCTTGAAAGACTGTAGTGATTATATGGAAACACACGTTGCACACAGATAAATGAAAGGGAGTCTGGCAAATATAATCAAGGCTTCATGGTGACTGTGATGGATTTACTTAGCTTTATGGAAGTTGCTTTTCATACTCTGCTGGTTTTTAAAGAAAAATATATATACATGAGCACTCCAATCGTTCACATAACGGGGTCATGGACGGGGGCACGGGCCTTTTTTGATTTTGGGAAATTGATTTTGACGCTTTCTGCTTTCAGCAGCTACCACGGCTGGATGCACAGCATGTTTTTGTTCCTCTAGTGGCCACGGAGTAATCATGCTGTAACAAATCTGGAAAAATTTGTTTAGCACAATGAACGATGGCCTTCCAAAACGTGTGAGCTCTTTACAAACGAGCATCTCAGCTCTGCTCAGACTCCAAACCTGCTTCCTTGGCCTGCTATTGTTGTTTTCAGACTCTGTTAACTGACAAATTAAAAAAAGGAGTTGTTGTAAACCCAAAGCTAAGCTCCGTAAGATTATGTTTGGCAGTTTTTGTTTGTTTTTTTACTTTTTTCTGCTGTGTTTTAAACATTTTCTTGAACACTAAAATTGATCTGACAATTAAGTAAAAAATAACTTAATAAACTTAATAACTTAAAAAAATAAATTTCACTAAAATTGTTATTTGAAAATTTTTCTGCGTTTTTGCTTAATTTTGAGCGTGTAATGTCTTTTGGGGTTTTTTTTTTTTTGTTTGTTTGTTTTTTTGTGAGCAAACAGCGATCCAAAATGTTGAACTGCCACTCCTGTTTTTCCATTGCGAGCTGCTGCAGCGCCACCTGGAGAAAGTGGAGGGGTGGGACAGTAAACATCTCAAGGACTCATTCGCCGCTTCAAAATGTCCAATCTGTGCCATGTTTGATATTGATATCTTTTGTTATGATCTTGTTTCTTTCAAAGGCTTTGACCTTTCACCTCTGACATTTTCCCCTCTGTGATCTATGCAAAACGTGCTCTGGTGTCTCTGGGTTGAAGCGGAGAGATGGTATGGATTGATTTTGATGTGTAAATACTGTTAAAAAGCAAGTGGGAGACGTGTGTGAAATGATTAACGCGACAGAATGAAAATCATCTGAAAATCATGTCATGATGAATGTTGTCAGAAATATTTTTCTATATTTTGAAATCATTAGAGGGAAAGAGGACACAACTTGCAAAGTGGGAAAAGCTGTCAGAAGAACACTACAAAGGGAATGTTTTTATTAATTTATAAATTTTTTTTGCCTAGCAACACAACACTTGTCCTGGTGTCTTTTCTTTGGGTTTCTTTGAACGTCTTGGAAAAGGGACTCCACCACAGGAGATTTTCAGTTTAAAAATATCCTCGTTTTCTCATACTCGTGTTGGCTCGTGCTCCAGAAGAAGCAGCACCCAGTACTTGTGAGCACCAGCTCATCTTTCTGCTTGAGTAATGAGTTCAAAAACTATAAACATACAAAGTAACATCACTTCCTGTCTTTTTAAAATCCATCCGTACTTGTGGAAACATGCAGATGAATTCATGGGCATACTGCGCCTGAGACAGACAACCCCTTAAAATAAAAATTGTGTGAGATGAGACATTCATGTAATAAAAGTAGAATAAAATATCAGAAGTGTTAAATCTGATGCCTTGGTGGCACTCTACTCTGCAAAAGTCTCAAGCCACCCCTCTTTTCTTTATCTTTAGTAAGGGAAATGGGGGCAACGATTTATTGAAACGTACATATAGTAGGTGAGGAAAAACCCATTTGTACAATTCTCTTTCTTTCTTTTTTCTTAGGTATGTTTTTACTGCACTGGCAGTGTGTTTGCGATCATGCTGAAAATGATGCTATTTGGAAAGCTGTTAACATTGGATCAAAATCAGTTCTGTGTTTATGATTCATCTATTCTGACAAGATCTCCAACACCACTGGCTCAGATGGAGCCCCAAACCAATGACAGAGCCTCCAGTGTGTTTTACACAGCTGTAGAAACTCACTGTCTGCCGACCTCTTGACCTCCTCTGTACATTCAATTCAATTCATTTTTATTTATATAGCGCCAAATCACAACAAAAGTCGCCTCAAGGCGCTTCATAGATACAGAGAAAAACCCAACAATCATATGACCCCCTATGAGCAGCACTTTGGTGACAGTGGGAAGGAAAAACTCCCTTTTAACAGGAAGAAACCTCCAGCAGAACCAGGCTCAGGGAGGGGCGGGGCCATCTGCTGCGACCGGTTGGGGTGAGAGAAGGAAGACAGGATAAAGACATGCTGTGGAAGAGA